ATTCTGAATGGATCATCTTGGAACTTTGCATATTTATTCCTTATACTACAAAGACGGCAACTATTTATTTGGTGCATGCCCAGACCCCCTGGCGTGGTATCACACCCACTTTTTGTTAATATTTAGCCTTCTTTGCCACTTGTGATGTTATTGTCATTGCACCAATTTAATATTTCACGCTCGAAATATTAAAAAGTACCATATCAATGCAGGTATGTGGACGTATACTGTAAAGTTGATATTTTATAATGAAAACAACTCCTTACACTTAAAAACACTCTTAATACATCTTATAGTCAAGACATTGACAACAAAATATTTCAGTTCTACTGACAACAAAAAATAGACAACTGTCATGGTGGCATTTATTTTGGGTTAAATCGTCACTTTATGAATCACTTCGGTAATTATTACACCCAATACAGTATTTGATTTGAGAGAGAATTGATAAATATAGTGGTAACTTTAGATCATCATACATCCCATCTGGTTAACTTCTACAAAATCTGACAAGACACTGTCTGCCATTTTTTCTCTACTATATCCATTTATTTCCAAAATTCTCACAAAAAAGACGATCTGATGTCTTGACATTCCCAACCCTGTTATTTATTACATCATTTTGGACGTAAAACACATTGGATCTATTAGAAGTTTACATCTATAACGTTTAGACACAAAAAATTTTCTACATATCACGGCTGCCTGAAATTCACTTTTCAATGAAAATCATAAATTATTGGAATATATTTATCACATTATTGTGATTCATTTATTTTGATCTAGTCAGAAAGAAAAGAAAGATACCAGTAGAATATATGTAAAAAACTGACTAGCTGATGCCATTATGATACCGTAAATGTTTTGTACCAACATTGATTAGTGAACAGTTGTTAGATATCAAATATAACAGAAATAAAAAAATCTCTATGTGGTGGAGATACCAGGCAAAATGAAAACTGTTTAGTTGATTAAATAATCATCTGTACAGTCCTACACACAAACCAGGTTTTGGCCAAATCCAGCCCGATAAGGACTATCTGGTGTATATTGTTAACTGTCATCAACTGTCGTTAATAATTACTGGAAACAGTCATATAAGGTGGATATTTGATACCATATCCCTTCTGGTGTTTACAGGAATTTCAACTGTGTGACCCCATAAAGGCTTACTGGGTTCTTATGAAGTAAAATAAGCTATTTATATCTAGATCAGAATTTTATTTAACAGCATTAACAATACATTGAGAAAAATACTACATATACAGTAAAAGTATCTTATTATTTTTATTTAATACATTTATAGAGAGCAAATTTCACCAAAATGTTCAGATGAGTTTAATAATTATAAAGTAAAAATACAATTTTGTGATTAAAAAAGCTAAAAATATATATAAATTCAATTATGAATTGATCTTCAAAAACTAAGCAAGATTAATTGTATATTAAGTATATTAACATGAAGATCCAGTAGATTGATCAACACTGTAATTATTGAAATATTACCACAGTACTAGAACATGCATTTAACATAATAAACTTACAATTGATATGCACGTAAAAAGGATCCAAAAACGTTGCAGGTTATATGCATTAACTAAATATTCATTATTTTTATTTGGAATAAGATTAAATGATAATGAATTTTAATTTTTGTAATACAGGATTTATTGTATTCTAAAAATAGATATTCCTTTCCATGTACATCTACGAAGAGAATAAGGTAATTCACATAATGAAACCACAGAAAAAAAATACTATTTCATCTCATTTCACTCTAGATCAAAACATGACCGGTATTGAAATTTATTACTTGTAATACATGCCGACATAATACATTTTCAATGTGGTAAGATACCAATTACCATATTAGTTAATTATAAGTCAGTTATATCTCTTAGTCTCCCCAAACTCAGCAGAAAAAGGGGGGGGGGGCATGAATCAATCTCCCCAAACAATTGTCAGCAACCATATACAACATAAAAAAAGCAATATGTATCCAGTAGTTTTACAATTCTCTGAAATATGAAAAATATCTTTGAAAAACATTATTTTGGGTTCTGGAGGGAATGGACATGTACCATAGATAATTTTTGTTATTTTGGTAACTTTTTTTTAGGCGTAGATGTTAGCTGCCTTTTTCGTCTTTGACCTTTCTGTGGTGTTTCGTTTGTTTTTTTTCGCTTCACCCCTTCATTGCTTTTTAAAATTGAATCTAATGCCATGAAGGCATCCGGTCCAAAGTCATATTCCACTTCTCCAGTAGCTGACTTTTTAAGACATGGCAGCGACATGAAATCCGGTAAATCAGCACTGTGGTCACCAGCAGTTAACAGATAATCAATCTGGAGTTGAATCAGATTGGCTAAGCGGTGAATGGCGGTGGTAGGTGGCATCCAGTTATCCGCGTTACTTAGTTGTAGACCATCGGTTGAACTAATACTTTGCAATTTCTTCTTTCTTTCCCTAGTTATTCTGCGAACATCTTCAGATGTTACACTTTCCGGATTTAGTTTTTTGGGACAGTAAAGATTCTTAATAAATTCCTCAAAGATATCTGGATTAATCTGGATTTGAGTTGTACACTCTATAAGAGAGGAAAGAAAGTGGTCATTGTATACATACATTTTTAATATTTTATCGTGTGATTTCCCTTTTATTTTGGGAATAAAGTCATTGCCACCAAGACAAAGGCCAATGGGTACTTTGATCCCTATCAACTTAGAGTTGAAGGTTTTTTCTAAAGTTTCCAGAATCAGGGTGATATTAAATATGTCATATTTTTTCTGGGGCTTTTGGAGTATAACATACACATCATTTTTGAAATGTCCATTTTCTTCCCTTGGCCAATGTCTGGCAACAGCGAAAAGGTGAATTATGACTGCATCTATGTCACCTGACGTTACAAAGCTGACAATAGTATCACCCGACTCGAGTTTGTCTTTGCACCCAATAAGCCAATCCACTTGGGACATTTCTGCTTCGCCCTTCTTTTGGTGAATATCAGTTAGGTTGGTTATCTGGCATGGTGTCTGGTCAGGAGTGAATTGGCAGCGAATGGGAATCGCATACTGATTACAATTGCAAGCGCCTCTACAAATGCAACTAGTTGCCATTTCGCTGTCAATATCTACAGTTATTTCACGTGGCAGTTTTAACTTGTGGATATTTGATGCTAAATAGTTGCTGATCATAGATTTGCCGACATCAGTACCAGTTATTGCATCACGTTGAAAAGTATGTTGATTCAGGATATCATCTGCACTTTTTAAATGCACAACTGATACACCAGGGTTTTTCTTTCTTTGCCGTCTTGTACCGGCCTTGAAATTGTCTGGTGTAAACGTATATTTTTCTTCACACACAATCACTCTCTCCAAAGCAGTCATTTGTTTAATAATTGGACACAGGACAGCATTCTGGACATAGTATAGATATTGGGATCCGGTAACAACTTTGGTCTTAAATTTGACTCCAGCAAATTCAATTGTAACAATCTTTACCCTTTTTGTCAGCCAACCAGGTAATAATTTTGATGCTGTTGTAATACACTTGTTTATTTCCTGTGGGTTACAAAACTCTAATAGATTTGCCAATGCCAGTTTCATGGAAGAGGATTTCTGTACTTTTGGTTTGCTACAGTCTGGTTTAACAAGAGATTGACACATGTTCATATCAGAGCTCAACCGATCTGTTTGCTTTAGAGCATTTGATAGTAACTTGGATCTTTTGTCTTCTTTCAATTGTCGTTCTGATTTGTGTGCGATTTTCGTTTGCTTTACTACTCGTTTGATGGTAACACTTACATTTTTATTTAAGCGCGATTTCAAATTTATTGGTCCTGAAACATCTTCCAATTTGGGGGAATCTGTAGCAGAGAGTTGAAATAGATTGTCTTTGCATATGAATCGTTGAATAAGATATTTTCCAATTTCCTTTGTATCATCATCTAGGATCTCACGAGACAGCACACCCTTGTCAATGGCATACACATTGCGTGGAATGTTGCAGGGGTGTGTTGAGAGTGCATCTTGTCTTAGAATAACCTCTGTGACTCGAAAAATATGTTTTATGTCTGTCTCAGTGAAGTTCCAAGATACACCATAAGAATCACTGTCGCTCTGTTGAACAGCATGAACAGCGTTGAATGAATCAATGAGTGACATTCTTCGTACAGCTGATTCTTGGGAAGATCCAGAGCGGAATCCCTTTAATGCGTCTTTATGGTCCATTTCGCGTTTGGTGTCGCATGCAAAGTTTACCTGGCTATTTCCGATAGGAGTAGAGAACAGACATTTTTTCAAATTCTGGTGAAAGATTCCTGCTGTATAATGCTCTGTCAATAAGCGAGTACAATAGGGTGCATAAGAACTAGCTCCATTTAAGAATGAAAACCACAAAGATGACTTTACCGCTCCCAATAACAGACTGTATCCATTCTCACCGCCAAGACGTTCTGCTAGTTTCACAGCTACAACTTCATTACAATGTATCATCATATCAAAATGGAGAGCAAAAGTAGCATTTATTTTTCTCATTGTAACCATAAATTCGTCAAACTTATTATTCCATTTCTGGGCTGTCTCAATAGGAGTTTGATTTAGTTCATTCTCAACAAATAACTGTGCATCCGTGCTTGGTAGGTATTGAATAAATTTAAGTGTAAAAGCAAACTGAAGAGATTGAGAGAGCCTTCTAATATGCCGTGTAGCAGTATCAATGTGTTCAGTAGTTATCAATTTTGACCATTCTGTAGTTGTTTCGTCACGCATGACCATCAATAATTCCACCAATCCTGCATAGCGATATGCACTAAACAAAGTATTGACCTTGGATTTTCTGAGATGAAGGAGTGGAAACTCGGGCAAAAATTTCTCATATTTTTTATTTTCCTTAATAAGGGACAGCAAATTAATACCAATTTTATTGTCTGGGCCAAAGAGAATTCTATCGAAAGAAACCGACTCGCTTTCAGTGTTTTTATCCATTCCAGCTTTTACAAGAATATCATCTAAGATTTCTCTTAGCTTATTGATATCATCATCTCTTCCACTTGCTGGGGGTGGATGTCTTGTAAGTAATGGAGGTGTGGTAAATTTTTCAAAACCAAACATTGAAATTATAGATTGCTTCTCATGATCAGTTTCTTGAATCGTCAGTTGTTCCATGGATGTTTCTAAAAGGGAATCATCGAGGGTAATCCCAAGGTCCATAGAGTCATCTAAAATGTTACAGGTATCATGAACAATTTCGTGCAAATTATCGTCATTTGTGTACAATGGATAATTCGAGGACAAACCAACTGGAGATATCTGAAACACAAAAATAATGATTTTTAGAAAGTATATTAATACAAACTAGATTTTAAATCTTTGCAGTGTGAAATATTTTGAGTGGGACTATGTGTGGGATAGAACTGACTTAAACATTGCTTCCACACATTCATCATTTTGAAATAAGATAGGTATGGTGAAATGTTACCTGGATTATAGGAATAGGGGATGAATCGTCTGGTGACTTCAGTTCTTCAACTGGTTCAACAGGTTTCAATGATGTACATTTTGGCACCATCTCTTGGTTGAATACAATGGCTTCTTGAATGAACTTGTTTAGCCATGATGTCTTTGGAAATGTACAAGTGGTATCTGAAAATGTGTAAGATATTTATACTAGCTGTAGGAAGAACTAATAGGATTGTTATTGTCATCTGTCAAGAAAAAATAAATTTTGAAAGTAAAACCCTCATTAACTGCAAGTTTACAGGATCATATTCATATTTCTCTTGTTACCCAAATTTGTAACTCGGCCTATTCTTCAAATACAAAAAAAAACATTCTTGAATGTAGACCTTAATTTAAGGAAAATTGTTTCATGTACCTGGGCCCTAAACCGTTGTATACACTGGTATACTTTTCTAAAGAAAGGCTAAATATCCATTATTTATAGCTCAAGGAACAATTCTTTTCTTTACAAATTTGCCAGATTGTTGATGTTAATGCACAGTAATAATCTTACCTTGTAACATTCTCCAAAGGCTATTATTTCCCCATCTACATATGTTGTTAAATATTTCTAAACTGCTTTCCTCTGAATGTGAAAGATTCAAAATGGTATCAAAAGCCTCTTCTTTGCTCAAAATTAGCCGCTTTTTACATGAGCAGTGTTGTGATCCATCACAGATATTCACATCATGCCAGTTTTCTGTTGCTTTAGAGTCTTTTGGCAACCCCTGGAGTGTTATTGGTAGCATGCACAGTTGTTTTGAGCGATGTTCTCCAGGATCGGGATCACTGTGATACTTCAGACGTACAAGATTATCCAACATCAAAATCAAGTGACACTGCCTAAGGCTAACCATTTGAGTCACATTACCAGCAAGAGTATCGTATGTAATAGGGTACTCCTTGATATAGGTCTGGTAGTAGAGCTGATCATCCATCGACTTTGAAATAAGGTTGTTTTCAGCAAATGTCAGTGATGTTGTAAATCCATATTTACTTGTGATATTGAAAAGCGTACTTATGCTGTGATAGTTCATTAAAAGTTCGTCTGTTATTTTTTGTTGGAAAATTCCAATGAAATTTTTGTTAAATGTATTCAATAGAACTTCATATACAGAGTACAATCGTTCGTATTTTTTATTTAAGAAATTTTCAGACAAGTTCTTGTGGTAAAGACTATCTTTGTTAATGAACATTTCAAGAATAAGTTGCATTTCCAATGGTACATCCAAATGAAATTCCTGGAGAACGTCGAAATTGGTGACAGACAAAGGCTTGGGCAGTGATATATCAAAACATGACTGGCATCTTTCCATTATTCCGTTGACACTAATTTCTTCTGGAACTACATTTTCTTGTAAAACGTTGCATAAAAACAATATATGTGTACTTAATTTATTTAACCGGAGGTCGTCATAAAGACTAAATCTTGCAATATGACCATTTTTTTGCAGGTATGGTGTTAAAGAATTGGAATCAATGAACATAATATGATGACAATTCAACGAATGATATTTGTTGCATATGTTCAATATCATCTGTATTGTTAATTTGTTGGTTGGTGCTTCACAGTTACTAGTACAGCCGACAATAATGTCAACTGTATCTAAAAAATCCTGGATACCAGGACACATACATTTTACGCATGTAACTGATTGTATTTCAACAGGAAATATTGTTGTGACTGCGTTGAAAATTTGAGATTCTACAATAGAAGGCCTATGTTTGTTGATTGTGGATAATTGTATTTCTTCACTAACAGCATTTGATGTTGTCCTTTGACTTCTCAATTTAATAGTTTGTTGGGCACTTTTTACAACAGATTTGCTTAGGTTTTTAGCTTCTTTTAGTGATTTCAGATAGTCCCAACGCCTTTTAATACTATCACCTACAGGCTCACTGCACAAGCTTTGCGCAAAATGGTGCTCGAATAAACATATTCTTGACCATTCTTCATTTGTAAAAATAACTTTATATGAATGTTCAAGGAATGGAATTTTCAATTCATCAAGCTTCAGATATTTATGATCGTCCTTCCCAACAAGTAAATTTGATATTTCTTTGTAAAGATCTAATAGTGTACCTTGTAATTGAATTTTTGATGGTACCGAAGAGAAAAAATCTTTACTTATTTGGTTTCCAATGGAAAAACAATTTTCAAAGTCCTCGGAATGATTAAAAATATATTTTAGAATAGCCAAAGTACTTATGCATTCTGTGCCACCAACAACTTTGATATGTCCTCCCTGGTATCTTTCTACTTCTCGTTTAATGTTATATTTCTTCAATAATTTAATCCTATCCTTTTCTGATTGATTGTTCTTAAGATATATTATAAAGTCATCCAAAATAATCCACAATCTGGAATCATTATCATCTCTTCTCAGTGGCAATTCTCTTAATTTCAACATAATGAAATTCCAGTTTGAAAGGAACAGTACAATATAATATAAGCCGTCTGCTAGTATATCAAATGATACAATGAGCATTGGATATCTTTATATTATACAATATTAACATCGGTGTGAAATTTGATATTGTGTGCCAACATAGATAGCACATTCCTCCCACAACCAAAAAATATTGAAATACAATACATTTATAAAGATAAGATTCAGTGGGTCTATGGCCATGTGTTTTATAATAATGAGACAGTAGCTATAGGTGTTGACAGCATTAGAGATCTTACTGTAGCTCCATTGGAGCCAGAATTTTGGCTTGTGTGTAGGACTGTGTATATGTTGAACTGAAATAATACATAAATTATCTTTTAAATATATACATCAGGGTTTTTATTTATAACCTCACCCAAAATATTTAAAATCCTAATCTGATATAGACTTAATTTAAAGTCTTTCTTTGACAACAGATGTTCAGGATTAGTTTTAATAATTTAAATATGTATATGTAAGCTTCTACAGTATACAAAAGCTAAAGCTCTGAATTATCTCTTTGATCTCTGTGCTAGTGCTTCTAGTTACTCTGATAAATTATCAAGGAAACACAATAAATTTGTTTGTGGGTACTCTACAGGTCACAATTCCTGATTTTGACGGAACTTGAAATATAGTTTTTTCTCCAAAAGACATTGGGTCCGTTCGATATTGGCATGTATTGGATAAAAGATTCATGGATTATGGCTCCTGAATGTACAAAAAATCACATTTTTAGTTTGTGGTCCTCCTAGAGGTCACAATTTTGATCCGATTTATAAAACCGTTCTAATATATCACTGTTACACCATAATGATGATTGAATTAGAATTTCGTGAAAATTGGACCAAAACTGACGGACAAAATGACCACTCTATATACGCTAATAGTGTTAAAGTAATATGAAGGTTGTGGACTGTCTAGAGGTCACAAGTTGGATCCGATTTTTATGAAATGTCAAATGTGTTAATGTCCCACCGATCTCGGTTCCTTTCTACATTCGCACATATCGAACCATAAGTTCCTGGATTATGGCCCCAGATTGTATGGAAATTAATTTTTATACTATTAGTCCGTGCACAAGATATTCCTTTTTCACTGTTTCTTTACGTTTCCCTCGTTCACTTTGTTGATATTTAATCAGAATGAGTCAACTTGTGGAGGAAATATAAATTAATTTTATCACATGATCGTTTTATTATTGGTAATTGGTAAAAGAATTGTATTTTGTGGTTGTTTTTAGATCAGAGATAACTTACCGTGAAAGCTTTCTTTAATACTGCTTTTTATTTTTTCACACAAATCAATGATTGTCGTTCTACGCATCTGTGCTCATGAGATTTCAAAAGGTTTAAATGTGAAGATTGGTCTTAGAGATATGAAACTATTAAAGTGAAATAATGACTACTGAATGCATCTCAAATCTCAACTGTTCCAATGAGAGATGTTTAAGTTTATTATTATACTAGTTTATTTGACTAATGGTCAGATCGCATGTGGACAACTCTTTCAGTCAGAAGAACTATCTAATTAGTAGGGCTATTATCAAGTAAATATTAATGTTACTGGCGTCAGTACGCCTGATTACTCGCTTGTCAGGAATTATGCACCTCATCTCGTTTGATTGCTCAATTGTGTGTATTATAGGACTTTATTCTGCTAGTCTGTGAATTGTTGCCATTTGTATAGTAGATAGGTTAAGTCTTAATTTGGTTAAGTTCTGGATGAATTATGTCTTGTGATTAATATACTGATATAACCTAACATATTAAAAATGTTTCAAATGTTCAATTTGTAATTGTTTAACTCAGAGAATATTACACAAACAACAGTTCCAATAATAGATATTGTAGTATTGGATTAAGGATAATATTGTTTATCTACATCTGTTTTTTTATACATGTATGAACAAAACAGTTATTAAAGATCCAGAGATTATCTTGGATATCTGTAATCAAAGTGAAATTTACTAAATTTTATTTAATTATTGTCCATTTTGGTATAAAATTAGTAATTTTGTTGCTAAACATTTGTTAATGATAAAATATTTCAGGATATAATAAATATTTCAGTATCATATTTGAAATATAATAAGTCAAAATGAAGCATAGATAAAATATTTCTGTATTATATTTGAAATATAAGTCAAAATGAAGTCTGGATAAAATATTTCAGTATCATATTTGAAATATAAGTCAAAACAAAATCTGGATAAACTATTTCAGTATCATATTTGAAATATAAGTCAAAATTAAATCTGGATAAAATATTTCTGTATCATATTTGGGAGATAACCAGTCCTCTCATTGAAAAAATATTTCAGTATTACATGTCAAATGAAGCATGGATAAACGAAATATTGCCATTTATAGGGCATTCCCATATTTTGTGACCTTGAGAAGTTATCAGTGAAAGGATTAAATAATGTAAACTTGACACCGATTCTGCCTGTAGCATTTGAAAAAAATGTAATATTGCCTTGATAATTGTATAAATATTTATTAATCTGCATACAAATTGGATGTGAAATGTGCATATTTTATTCACATCTCTGTTGCTGATATAATTTTGTAAGTATGCAGGAATTTGTGGCTGTTGAAAGAAGTATGCAAGAGTTGGTTTTGTCTGTAGTGATTACCTGTAGATCTTGAAGAATGAGATAATATTGATCTTGAAACTTTTAATTAAAGCCATCTGTCTTTTGTAGGTCTGTGAAGACTTTGATCTTATGATGATTCATTTTCTCAGTGTTTAGCTCTATGGAACAGGGATGTAGAATGAAATTATACTCACAGATCGAAGCTAAAATATATAGTACATGTAACACTTCTTTCTTGGGTTGGGGATCATGGTGGCTATGTGGGTAAGACTCTGGCTTGCTAGACTGGAGGTCGGGTGTTCGATCCCTGCATTGGCTGAAAAAGTTCATCCAGATTTTCCGGCGTGGTTCCCCCTTGTCAGTGATACAGTACAGAGGGCCTGACAAGGACAGCTGTCTAGTCATTTGGATGGGAAGGTCCCGTGAACACATTAATGTGCACGTAAAAGATCCCTTGACAGTTGGAATTCGATATAAGAGTAGGCCGTAGTGCAGCTGTCTGGGCAAAATTTCCCTCATAGCAATAGCACACTGTGTGGCATAT